TGGTGAGCCGTCACCCGACGTGACCATGAAGAAACAGGTGGCCTTGTTCCTCTTGTCGAAGACAATAAAGCTGGACTGTGACTTCATAGAAGTGTCCCACTCGTTGAACAGACTAGGGAACAACGACAGACCTGATAATATCATGAGGTTCAGTAACCAGAAACAAAAAACTGCTCTGCTGAAACAGCCAGGCTGCTAAAGGGGTCAGAGGTGTTCATTAACTGGCACCTGACCAACAAGACCAAGAAGAACTCCGACATTGCAAGGAAGGCCCGGTTCCTGGGGAAGCAGAAGAAGATCCAGTCCACGTGGACCACAAACTGTAAAGTCTTCATGAAGTTGGATGGAAACCCAGAGGTGGAAAAAGGTTGTGGTCATTCTGGACATCACAGAGCTGGACAAATATGACTAAAATCTTCAAGGAACATTTGGAGCACAGGTGACAACAGGGCAGTTCAAGCAGATACGTTTTCTATCATATATTTCAACAGCAGAAGTTTATATGCAGTGTCTTGGTGTCTTGTTCATTAGTGAGGGATGGATGGAGCGTGAGATCAATAGACGGATCGGTGCAGTGATAAGGTCGCTATATTAAATTGTCGCATGGAGCTGAGTCGGGGGGCAAAGCTCATAAGATCTGGGTAATGACCAAAAGAAGAATGGTTTGACCAAACATATACAGTTACCTCTCAGAAGGTCTTCTTCATCTGTGGGGACTTTAATATAGATCTACTTAACTCAAATAATCATAAACCTACTGAAGATTTCATTAATACTATGTAGCTACAGTTTGATCCTTTTCCCAAAATCACTAGACCGAGCAGCATCACACTTAACGGTGCCACATTAATAGATACTATATTTACAAATATCCTGGATAACAATAAGTTAAGTACTTTAAGATTTCAGTATATTAGTGATCATCTTTCAGTCTTTATTGTCAGCGACAATTTCTGTATATAAAATAAGGATAAAAGTAATCCACAGTTTAAAAGAGTAAGAACAGCGGAATCACTCATCTTTTAAAGAGGACTTGTTTAAAGATAACTGGGAGTGTCTGTTTTGCAAGAAGATAATGTCGATATAGTATATGATAATTTTATGAATATCTTTAAAGCATTATACGATAAAAACTGTCCACTGATAATGTTCTCTCATAAAATCAAATACTCAGAAGATCCATCGATCACAAAAGGTTTACAAAATGCCAGCAAAAAAAAAGAACAAACTATATAGCAATTTCATAAGGCATAGGTCTTTAAAAGTAGAGAATAAATATAAGAATAAATAAACCAC